TTAACCATAAAATGTGACCATTGTAATTCTCACTTGAATTTCAAATGTAAAAACTCCTTGGTTATATGTCATGTTTCTCTCATTCACTTGCAAAGAAAGCACAGCAATAATCCAAATAGGTTAATTAACCATCTCTCCAAGAGTGCATGATGGGTAAAGACAAAGGCAAAAAGACAACCAAACCACTCTACCTGTATTGTTTATATAGCAGTGAGATTAGAACAATCTAGAGAGTTTTCCAACTTTCCATTCAATTCCAGATTTGCATGCGTGTAATTTGCATTGGACAGCACTAGATGCTAGCGATCGCCACAACACTATGGAAACTTCTATGATAACTAATTTCACAGTACAAACCAACAAAATCTGTTAATAACTGACAATAAATTTAACGAAAACAAATTGAGAGTTTTAAAGTATATAAAGAGTAAAGATTTAATAATTTTCCTATTTAATCATCAATTTTTTGTCAGGAAAATTATTCTAGTAGTAATTCATATTAATTTAAGTACACCTGGTCCTGTCATTCTATTTTGTCTGTGATCTTAGTGGTAGAAACAGTAACAGTGAGAGGGTGAAAAGTTTTATGACTGAACTTCTATTTACTTGTCTCTTCCTCTCCCTGTCTCTCACCTCTATCATTTATATAAAGATGTTTAAAGCCTCTCTTGACATTGGTTTATTGCATATCTTTTGATAAGGTATTCATGTCTTTTGTTCAGTAACAGATGGCCCTTTTTAGAATGTGTTCAGGTTCAACCTCTGACCTGAATTTTGATAATAAAGTGAACGTTTGAGGGCTAATTGTATCTTGTATTAACATAGCAAGAATAAGAATTTGGGAAATTTCAGACCATTAATCTTTGTCTTATTGATCTGTTAGCAACTGAGTAGGTTAGAGATCTTTTTTCTTTTTATGTGCCATGTCCCTTTGGGATGTAGGCGATCATGGCTCTCCACTACCTTCTATCCCTTGTAGCTCTTAATAAGTTTTGTTCCTCTACCACCTCCCCCAAACCATGTTCTGTCATCCACTTGCTTAAGCCCACCAGGTTTGTCATTTGTTGCTTTCCCTTGTCTCTCTTTCCCTCTATTCAACCTGTGAGTATCACATTCTTCAGACCCTTCTTTCTCATCACTAGTCTTACTAAATCTTAATGAAATCTACTAGGTTTATTTCAGGTTTGAATCTTCTCTAGAGCATTCTCCAAATTAACTTTATGGCTTCTAATTATTATTTTAAATCCATTTTTCCTTTATTCTTCTAGATGCTTAATTAGTTTCTTTGAGTTTTTGGATGTTTTAATTTTAATTATTTCCTGTTTGAAATCATTATTAGGCATTGTCATGCAGGAAAACACTGAACCAATATGGGTACCTTGTTATATCCAATCATGCATTAACACATTGAACCATGGTTACCACCCTGTTATAATGTGAGGGCAACCATTGTCAGCTTTCAATCTTTTTTATCTGCCTAATTTCACTCACAAGGTTTCAGTAACTTGGAGGTTTCTTCATGGAATTGGATTTGGTGAAGTTGCTTAATCTTGAAATTTTTTGACCCATTAAAAACAGTTTCTCTGCAAACAAATTAATTCTTCATACCAATCATTTTCAATGTGAAAATTTGATCACTTTTTTTTAGCAGCCATATTTAATTAAACTATTTACACTGAAACAAAAGAATGTTAGGAAGCCACATTTTACAAATAGTTTCAAATTATGTTTAAATAATGGGTAAATATTTATGCCACACCTGGTATATGGAGTTTTGGGTGTGTGTAGCTGGTGTAGTAGTTATTGGTATGGAAATTGGTATTAGTAAGTTGAGTTCATATTCTGACTTAGTTGCTTTTGCTTTCACACAAAAAGGCAAAAATCCTTCTTTTCTCCTCTCAATGATAGGTTAAATATCAGGGAAGACTGGGCTTTAGCCTTGGGTGGCAGCCAGTCTAAGAGAATGACTACTTTGAATTCAAAAACTATGGAGAAGGCAATGGAAAACCACTATTTTTTCCAAAAAAACAAATCAGGACAACTTATAATAAAGAAAAGTAAAAAGTAGACAACCCTGATTGTCCATTTCTCCAAAAGATCTGATACTTCAAAATTTTCCCAATACACATATATTATACTCTGATTATAGGTAGACAGAAATGCCAGTCTGTAGTGAGCTACTAATAGCTCAGATATGGCACAGGGCTGTAAGTATGGTGTGCCCAGTGAAGATTGAACTCTCACTCAGTTGTGTGCCATACATGATATACGCTTAGGCAATCATGTATTTTTCAATACATGACTGACAAGGCAGATTTTTCCTGCAGTAGGTTATCATTTCTTTCTGCGGTAGACCAGTTGCCATCAAAGGCTATAGAACCTGCTATTTACCCATAGCTAGGGGGAGAAGATGAGTATTGATACCTTTCCCAAGGGCATTAGCACATAAGTAAATGGATTTGACTGGAATTCAAACACAGCTCTCTGATTCCTCAATCCAAGCTGCTATCCATTGCTCCACCTTGCCACCTTGAACGCACTACTCTATCATAATTGATCTAACAAAACAAGCTTGCTGACCATTACACCATGTTGAAGTGCTCAAAGTACCAATCTATATATAAATAATCCTAATAGTCACATTTGATAGATATTATGCTTATAATAATAATAATTGGGAAATAATTCACTATAGTTAACTGTAATTGACAAATATACTCAATAAATAGAACTGACAAAGTTTCCAATAAACAATAACAAAAGAAAGAAAAGAACAAGGCTAAAATAATACTAAGCAGACAATATATATTTGTAAGACAAAACTAAGTTAAGCAACAGCAATAAGGCAAAAAGTTCACAAAGAATGGTGTTCACATACAAAAGGGATACAGTCAAGTTATTATAGTGTTCTGACATTAAGACAAGAAAGAACATGGCAGATGTGATCAAGAAGTGGCCCATTTTTATTGGTTAGGAAGAAATACCAGTGTGCATCTGTACAATTTGTCTATAAGTTTTGGGAGGGGATGTGTTAGGAATCATGTTACAAATGGAACAAAAAATAATGATAATAATAATAATTTTTTACCAGAAGACATACAGGGAATTGTTCAGCAAATATAATTGAATATAAAAATGTTTAATAATTAATTTTCAGTATGTCAATAGGAATAATTTATACAATAAGGAATCTTAACAGAATTTTGTTAATTTTACCTCTCGAAAAAAAAAAAAAGGTATAACTATTTAAGATTTTCTTGTTTTGTTTTGGCATACCTTGAGGAACTCTTTTGAATGGTAAGTGATAAATAATTTTTTTTTTTTTAAATAATTAGATTATTCTTTCCAGAAATATTTTGGTTCAATATGCTTAAATGAAACCAATCACTTAAAAATTTGGTTGTAAATGGAGAGAAGTGGTTAATACAGGATTTAATACCTTTTGCACACTTTTATTAAGGCACCTCAAAGGATTCGTGTTTTAAAAGAACAACAATGAAGCAAATGAGAACAAGCAAAATAGTAGAATCATGAATGTCTGCTTTGTTTTGCATTGTCTCTACAATGGAAGGAAGCAGCAGTTGTATTGAACCTGAGACAAGAAGTCTAAGAAAAGGTTTTCTTCCAGGAACAATTTGATAATCTTATTTTGCTTTCTTTTGTTCTTCTGCTTCTACATTTTCATGAAGAATGATGAGGCACATCAACACCTATATGAGCCACAAGGTGCAGCCTAATGTCTTTTTCAAATTAGCTTTTTTGTCATATTTTATATGAAATAAATTATATCTTAATATTTGCTAAGTTTGGGTTAAGCGATAATGAATCTTTTTTACTAAATTTCACACCATGTAAGGCTCAAGAGCCACTCAAAATAGAGGGATACTGTCAAAATGGTGATTATGAGTGAGTTGTATGATATGAATAGAAGAGAAAGTGGTAGGAAGTAAAGCTTATGAGATATAGAGGATAGGTAACAATGAGGCACTAGAATCATGAGGACCATCACCCTAGATATATAAAAAGCCTTTGAAAAGGTGCAGCATCAGGGTTGCTACATAAACTCTCCAGTTATGGAATCTTTTTATAGCCTTTCTCAATTATCAAATCCTTCTTAGGTAAGTCCTAAAAGTTTTTAACTGCCACTCATCAGAAACACGTGTGACCATTCTGCTCTATGTTAATGATCTGCGTAAGAACTTACTCCAATCTTTATATCTATCCAGATGATACAAGAGTTTATAGGTGCACCTCCAAAAATCTGGATTACCAGAACCTGACAGCTAATCTTTCCCCGCTGACCTAGCCCTGGTCACTCAATGTGGGAAGGACTGGCTTGTAAAATCCAATATTTCCAAAACCAAACTAGTAACATCCCACTATCACTGAGCAGACCTTGGAATTTCACCGATTATGATGAATGGGTGTTCACTCAAGGAGGCTCAAGTTCATCTCAGTCCACAAGTGGAACTCATATATACGGTTTATTGCTAAAGATGCTGGAAAAATGGTCAGTTCATTGTACCACTCCAGTAAGTATCTGACTCCCCCTGCTATACTCTGTTTTTTCAAGATACAGATCAGACCAATTTCTGCCATATATGAGCTGGAGCTGGCTCACCTGCCATTCTTGGTATTGTTCAAAAGCATCTTTGTGGCCTTGTGGGTGATGAATTTTTTCCTAACCTACAGCCCCATTCCTACAGACAAAACATCACAAGTCTCTCACTGCTCTATCACTATTTCCATGGCAAATGTTCTGGTATGTTACATTCCTTAGTTCCATCGGTGCTAACTTTCACATTTCTTTTATTTTCCATTCGTAAAATGTAAGTTCCACTTGGACAGCTTCGTCATAAGAACTGTTACTTTGTGAAACGGACTCCCAGCAGGATGTTTTTTTCCAATCACAATTTTGACCTCTTCATACTTTGGGCTAACCGATATCGTTCATACATAACCTCATGGTCTTCACTTTTTGCCTTCTCACCACACAGGCTTATGGCCACATCATATTGAAACACCAGTTCTCTTCTGATCACCAAACTTAACCAATATCAGGCCTAGTCAGTACTTAGATGGGTGACCACTTGTAAATACCAGGTGTTGTAAGTTTAGATGTGTGGGTGGTGTAATGGATAACAGTTCAGAATTGGAATTCAGAGAGCCAAGTTCCAATTCCAGTCAGGTTCATTATATCTACTTATGCACAAATACCTTTGGGAAAGATATGAATCCACTTCTTCTACCCCCAGCTATGGGTTAATTTAAAGAACTTGTCTCAGTAAAAATCATTATTCAAAAAAATTCTTACAATCTAAAAATATTTTATGGCTCTAAATAGCCTGCAGAAGGTTGATAAGCTATAAAAAAAAACAAATAAGTCAATCAAATACCACACAGTAACCATCTACCTTGAATGGCTCTTGTGCCTTGTATTTGGTGAACATTAGTATAAAAATAAAACAAATTGAGGAGGTCAAGATAGAAATGTTAAAAAAAGAATCCATGCAGGATTTTGTTCCACAAAGTAACAGTTCTGGGGAAAAATCTATTTGAGTCAAATTTTCTTTTTGTATTTAAAACATGAAGGAAATGAGGGTGATTTGACTCTGTGGAAGTAGCATGGCATGTCCTAGTTTTAAATGTCTGAACTGGTAGAACTAAAGAATACTGATCATCTGGACATTTGCCATGGAAATAGCAACAGAGTAGTGGCAAGCTTGTAACATTGCATTTGTGAGAAAAAGATTGTTTATGCAGTCTTTCTACTCTCCAATTTTGAAATCTACCCAGGCTGGAAATTGAGAATTAAGCCACCCCAGGCCTGATATGGCATCAATAGTTCATTTTTTTGCCTAATATTACTCTTGTAAAAGTAAGGCATAGCAGAAGTAGTCAGATATTTCCTCAAGCAATAGAATGAGCCAATCACTTCTTCCAGATTCTTTAGCAATGGATTTCCACTTGGGGTCTGGAGTGAACTTGAGACATGTGGTTACATTGTTATTATTATAAATAAAATATAAAATAATAATAATGATGAAAATTATAAATAAAATTAAATAAAATTTAAACCTGGTTTAAAATAAATAAATACAAAATAAAAATAATAAAATTACTCCCAGCAAGCAACAGGGACTGTTCCTGCCAGAAATACGGACATCTCACCAAGAGACGTGAGATTCAGTCTCTTCACCCAAGGACTATGAAAATGACAACACATGTGTAACTTCTCTTTGTGATAGGACTTGTGATATTACAGAGTGACTTACTCCCTTTTATAACATGAACTTTATCACAATTGTAATGTAAAACACACACAAATACATAAATAAAATTGTATGAAACTATCATAAAATTTACCATATTTTTTTATTGTTATTATGTACATTTGTTTGTTGTGTATTTCCTCATGAACACAAGCCCAATTTTTATGACCACATGGTGTGAATGAATATATTTCTACAGACCCAACATCAAGAACATGTAGCCTCTTTGAAATCAGAACCATTCATCATGACTGATGAAAACAAGAGTCCTAACAGTGATGGTGAACTGATACTAGCTTGGTTTTTGAGATATTGAGAATAACATACCAATTATTGCCCTGTTGAGCTGTGAAGATTAATAGTTAAGATTAGTATTCTTTTGAATTGGCTGTTTAGTGAAGGTAGTCTCTCAACATAGAGGGCATCTCTACCAAATTTACATGGCAAGCTTTGTGCTAATTTACATGAGAATTGTGATGCTTGCTTGCTAACAAATTAAACTCAATCTGTAGCTGTAGATCTTGAAAAAAGCAACATCTTTTATAGGCCATATCTTTTCATGATATGGACGATCATGACTCTCCACAACTTTCTATCCTTTGTATCTCTTAACAATATTTGTTCTTTTACTATTTCTCACAGTCCCCATTCTGTCATCTATTTACACATGTTCATTAGGTAGCTTACTTGCTGTTTCCCTCTTTCCTTCAATATGCCCTGTGAGTGTTAAACTGTCCAAGTCCTCTTTCCTCATTATGTGCTCTAAAAATTCCAACATCATTTGCAACCGTTTGTGTTGCTACCTTTTGAATTTCCATTTGAGGTCTTGAGTGAACTTGGGACCCAACATTAAGAACATGTAGCCTCATTGAGATCGGAACCATTCACCATGACTGATGAAAACAGAGTCCTAACAGTGATGATAAAATGATACTAGCTTGGTTTTTGAGATATTGAAAATAACAAACCAATTATTGCCCTGTTGAGCTGTGAAAGCTAGATCAGAGGAGTGATCCACTGCAAGCCTCTGATCATGTAGGGATGGTTCGTGTAGAAGAGAACCAGACTAACAAGAATAAAAGATCTCAACTTGGGTGGGTCTGGTATAGTTAAGGGTAGTGTTCACCTGAATAATTGGCTGTTTAGTGAAGGTAGTCTCTCAACATAGATGGCATCACTACCAAGATTACATGGTAATCTTTGTGCTAATTTTTTTTATATATTTATGCCTCTTGCTTGGAAATAAAACTTAAAAAAAGCACCATCTTCTTTAATAGGCCATATTTTTTCAGGATGTGAATGATCATGACTCTCCACTACTTTGTATTCCTTGTAGCTCTTAGCAATATTTGTTATCTTACTATTTCTCACACTCCCAATTCTGTCATCTATTTGCACATGTTCATTAAGTAGCATACTTGCTGTTTCCCTCTGTCTGTCAATATGTCCTGTGAGTGTTTAATTCTCCAAGTCCTCTTTCCTCATTATGTGCCCTAGAAATTCTAACATCATTTGCAACTGTTTGTCTTGCTACATTTTGGATTTCTACTTGTGTAAAAGAGAACCAGACCAACAAGAAAAAAATCCTCAACTAGGGTGTGTCTAGTATAGTTAACAGTGGTGTTCTCTTGAATAATTGGCTGTTTAATAAAGATAGTCTCTAAACATAGATGGCATCACTGACCTTTCAACTGCTTCTTTCTGATGCTAAGTATAAATGACTGTTTTGTTTCCATTTTCTCTAAAACTTAAAAAATAAAAATATTGAAGATGAAGAAGTCCATGAAAAGTAGACATACACGTGTGTGTGTGTGTGCATATAAACATGTGTGTGTGTGTGTGTGCATATAAACGTGTGTGTGTGCATATAAACATGTGTGTGTGTGCATATAAACATATGTGTGTGTGTGTATAATTATTATTATATTTTTATTATAAGAGATTAAAAATCATTTAATCACCAGTTACATAGCATCACCCGAAGAAGTACAATCATAGTATTGAAACATGAAAGATTTTGTGTAGCAATTTCAAAAATGTTTTTATTAGATAATAAACATATAATAATATTTGTTCTACTTTGTACTGAGCACTTTTTAAAAAGTAAATGCTACGAAGAGTGAATTTTTCACTCCACCTGTTCTTTCTCTCATTTATATGTATGTATGTATGTGTGTGTGTGTATATATATATATATATATATATATGTTGACCCAAGCCTTGTGAGTGAAATTGGGTAGAGAGAAGTATTTGTGAACCATCGATGGTTGTGCTAGCATGAAGTTGAAAGGCATTGTGACTGAGAGTTTGAGTGTATTGGCCTTGATCATGCCAGATAATCCGCACTTTCTCAGCATAGTTACAATATAAGCCACAGGTGGGTTCTGTGGGTGTTGAACAAATACAAATGCGTCTGAGTAGTCATCTGCAACAGGGATTGGCTAACCTACCATGTAGACAGGCATATTCATATGCAAGCAGCAAGCCACCACCACATACACACATAAGCAAATACACATACATGCACATGCATACTTATATACATATACTTTTATATATAACAACAATTGGGAATGAAAATTCAAAAGATAGATTGTGATGATATATATATAAAAGTTGGTCTTTTTTTTTTTTTTTTTTTTTTTTTGCCTGCAGTTCATCAGAACATGACCTAGATCAGGATTTTGACCCTTTAATATATATATGGAAAAATGTTATCAGCTTAAACTGATGCCAGGAAGATATGGTTAATGAAAATATGAAAAAGATGGAGAAATCTTACCAAAATAATAATAATGTTTAATAATGAAAATACTATATCGTATAAAATATTTCACTGTTAATATCTTACAAAATAGATAAAGGTTAACTTCAGAATCAATACAAATGTATGTTATTTCTACAGAACTGAATCTGAAAAAATGCATTTTATACATTTTGATGTTAGTAATTTAATAAGCATAGGTCAAAGGTAAAGTAGATTCATCGGCAGACAAAAACCTCTGTATCAGATGATCTAAACGGAAAATGAATAATAATAAAATGAAGAAGAAAAAATTTAATGTGAGGTTTTTATTTACTATGATAGTCATTAGTGATAAAAATGTAGAAAGAAAATATTATTTAGACACCATTTATTTTTTAATTTATTTCATCACTATTTCTTGTTTGTTTATTGTCTCTGGTTATAGAGAGTCATTATGAATGTTATCTCTGTACCAACTTTCTTACATAGGTGATCATGGCTCTTCACAATTTCCTGTTTTTTTTTTTACACTAAGTAATTCTTGCTCCTTTTTCTTTATAGTGCTTGTTCTGAATAACATTTTTTTTATTATTCTACCCCAAGCAAGGCAATAAAGCCACTAAGATGCAATGAGGGTGAGAAAGAGAAAAAAAAAACACTATTAAGGAGAAAGAACAATAAAAGACCAGGAATTAAGACAGAAGATAAAAATGAAAATTGCATTCAAATTTTTGAAGATTAAAATTGACTGGAAGCAAGAAGCCAGAAGAGAGTTCCACATGGGAGAAGTATGAGAAAAAAAACTGTTAGCATAGAACTTACAGTTTCATCTAGCCACACTTCACCTGTGAGAGGATGAGACCTAATTGCCAATCTAGTACTATGCTTAGAATCAGCAAGTCTAGGCACCACAGAGGAAAGTTTATCAGAACAATTATCATGAAAATATTTATAGAAAAGACACAGGGAATCTAGGTGATGTAATGGAATAACCTGTCACCCCCACCATGAGTGACTACACTATAGGTAGTACCTACCTATAAGTATCTGTAAGTCAATGAACTACAGAGACTAGCTGGGATCTGTTGAGTACA